TCTGCGTGCCCATTAGACGTAACTTTTCAAATCTTCAATTAATTTTTATTGGTTGTTTAAATCTCCCCACTAATGTTAAGTACTGCAATGTAGCAGTCTATTTTGGGATAGATGACAGAGATGGATAGTGGCTAGCTATGGAATCTAGGACGCATGTTTTGTCCTATTCTGGACTCCGCAGCTAGATGTACTTGCATCTCAGAGTTGATGTTCATTTTGGGATAACGCTATGGCATTTGAAGTGAATGGTACTGGGTTCCAGTCCCATATGTGGGATCGTGGATACATACTTATTAGTTACTGGTTTTCATTGATTTTCCAACTTAGATCGATTCGTGATTTCAATTTCGGTTTATGATTAATAACAACAGCATATGCCAGATACATAAACCGTTGCACCTTTGTTTTTCTCCATTGGTTTGTTATTGTTTGTATGTTTAATTATATTTTCCAGATGCAAAACAAGGTGATGACAATGACAATTTGTCAATTTTAAAAAGTTCTCTCAATGAGGAACCGGATGAGATACAATCAGGTGATAATAAAAATAATACAGAGAAGAAATCAATTTCATTGTTACTCTATATAAATCTTATGGCTTTAATGATTATTTTTATGCGTGATTGAAAATTTTCCGGCTAATTCAAAGCCAAAGACAAATAAACAAATGGAAAGATTTCTTAAAGAAGTAAATTGATTACATTACATTAGTCAAAGCATGAACAATTATTATTACTATTAGTTTTGCTTCAACACATGCTTTCCTTTCCGTTTCTTTTCTTGTTTTCATTTGGACTGATTACAGTTCTCGTTTTTTTAGCGTTATTGTGTTTTTTCGTCTTCGTTATTTTCCTAAATTGTATTCTCGACCACCTCTATTCACTCACAACCATATAAATGTATACACGAAGAGAACTTATTTCAGTGTAAGTAGTTGAATAGATATTGGATAGGCGTCATTCTGTATACCTTTTCTAGTTATTTTTAGTGGTTCCAGACCGAATTTATTTTATTAAATTAATCTATTCATAGTCTTTAGTTGAATATCGAATTTTATCGCTTAAGCAGTCAGAAGGAATATTTATTTCTATTGCTTCATTCTTTTTATTTCAATCTATCATCTCGTTTGTGTTGTGTTCACTCTCTCAGCACACACACAAACACCTCTAATCTCACATGAGATAAATATGCCTAATCTTGGCTCTTTTTTCGCGGTTTCCATTAGTTGAATTGACCCACTGAAGTTATGTATTTCCCAGAAAAAACAATTTGCTTCCCTTGCATTATTATTAGATGTCATTTTACAATACAATCTAAATAGTTGATTGTGATTTCTTTCGATAAATATTTATCCGTTTATTTTTCTTCAATGTTGTTTATTCATTCATTTTATTTCCTACAACTCCATTTTAGCCTAGAAATGATTAGCATTCCGTGTCATGAACAGAATGTTATCTTATTAGACAGATAGATAGATCAGTAAAATATATCCTTGGTTAATGTTAGTCCGATGGTATATCTTGTTTAGATATATTTCGATGAGACATCGCTTTGGGCTTGCATCATTTTTCTTTGCTTATTCCACCAATAAATTTTTTGTCCAAAACTTTCCTTATCGTACTTTACATATTTATCTGTCGCTTTTTGTTTATGTGAATCGCTAAACAAAAAGCAAATGATCCATAAAAATATTAAATTATGGTGACTGTTCTTCACATTATTATTATTATCACCATTAAATAATGCTTTAAATGTTGTTACTATTGTCAATCACATCCTCCCTATTCACTAATGTTCGCACTGTTCTTTTTTCGATTGCAGCTAAAAGTATTTGTGCAAATATCTACATACCAGAGCTCATACAACCACTACTATTATTAATGTCACTATTGTTATGATTCTCCGTTACTTCATTAATAAGACTAAACAGCCTACACTCTTCTTTGATTGCTTTTCTGTAGTTGTTTTTATCATAATTATACCTGTTTTGTTATATTTTGGAAATCGGAACACCAAGAGAATCATGCAAAAGAAGTACAACTTAACAATAAATTAATCTTATCACCCTTTTGATTTATCTCTGGCTAATTTCTTCCTTTACAGTGGGTAATCTTTTTTCTGATTAAGTCAACGAACGATGATGCATTAAATCATTTTGTCATTTATTTTTTATGTGAATATATCCGTTGACGTAGATGCTCTGTTTTTGTGCATTTGTTTTTACCTATTGAAATTTAAAATAAGTAGTATAAACTGCAACTTAGAATTTGTGCTGGGTTAGTCGGAAATCTCCGCAACGATTTCATTTACTGCATTCACAGTTAACTATTTATCAAAAATAATAGTATGTAGTAAAATAGAGTGACGTTGAGCAATTTTAAAAAGTTGAATTGATATCGTCCCATAAACTGTTTACAAAAACTAGATATTTAAATGAAGCTATAAAATAATCCGACAGATAATAAAAAATGTCAATGTGGAAATAACTGTTCACTTTATAAATATTTAAAATAGGAAAGTTAGAAGTTATAATATTGGCTAATTAGTAAATGCAGAAGATAATTGCAAAAGAGTGGAGAAGGGAAAGCGAAAGGTTAAGGAGGATAGTAAACAAGGTATGATACACAATTGTTAGACTTTAATTGATGGTCAGGTAGAGCCTCTTTTGTGCATATGCTTTATAGTTGTATTCTTTTTTAAATCAAATTTTCTTAATGTATAGACTAATTCGAAGGAGGACTTCGGTGTAACTAAGTGACCAGAATTAACTAGATATTCAGGGATTGATCTTTAGACTGAGTTTTATATTTCTTACATAACCAGGCAGACAGATATCAAGATATGCACTTCAAAAGAGCTCTCCTTGTGTGGTGAATATAGCCTGTCTGTATGACTTCTCTATGCATTGATCAAGCTTTGATCATTTCCCAAATAATATAAATGAAGCTAATTGGAATTTTTTGGAAATATGTACATAATTGACCAGATGAACCATTTAACATAATCGGATGTCTAGAAAACCAATATGACATTTTGACCGTTTGCTTTAATATATCTAACATAGTTACTAGCTCATATCTCACTGTCACAGTATCTTTAAGAAAATAAATGTAATTTAGTATCCAAGACCAAATCTCTATACACGACTTTGAGCGACAGGGAAGTTTGAAGTATAGCGTAATCTGTTTCCACTATACTGACGAACCAATTAGATTTCATGTGGCGATTTCGAGGTTACGAGGTATGTTTAAAAAGGAAATTTCTATCTTAGATCGTTTAATTATGGATTTGAATAAGGATGTTATGATTCATGGCTACCATTGTTTGTGATTATGTTAATGGAATGAATAAAAGACGATGTATGGCTTCTCGAGATGACAATCGTGAGATGTAATGTACGTTAACAAAGGAAATTGGTGTGAATGACATTTTCTTTGCTCTTTTGAAACTGAGATTGTGACAATATAACACTTTTTATTTACTGAATAGTCATACCACTGGTAGCGATTTCAACACCTTCAACGAACCTGACTCTTGCATAGGAATCAAAATGGTGTCGATACAAATGTTCAGGAATGTTTTCAAACTTTAATCTACAACTTGTAGGTTTCGATAGTTTTACAGAAACCGATAGAGTTGTTGTTAGTAACCGGAAGTATATTTATGGAAGGAGCAATATCTTGGAATATTTTCTCTGACCTAATAAGCCTTCGGGATTTTGGACAGAACTATTGCATTTGAAATCGAGTGGTTCCAACCTTAATACCTATCAACAGAAAATATATCTAATTGGGAACGCTGATCTATTTTGAGGATTGGAGAGCGTACAGTTAATCAAAATAGTGTTTTCTCTCATATGTATTACTTCGTTAAACCTTTCAGTTACAACTAAAGGGTTATCATACATCCATAATTTAAATGCTCTGTAGTCAGAAAATTGGACTCTTGTATCGTATATACTGTGATTTTAAAATCCACAAACCAATTCCAAATTATCATAGTTTCACTAATCATTTAAACAGTTTTGATATGTTCTGTTTTTTTCGCTATCTGTAATCACTTATCCTATCGTATCACCTACATTCTTATCGATACACAATGAATAGAATGAAGCTAGCAACGGAATCTAGGATGCGCGTTTCGTCTTGTTTGTTGTTCATCAGCTGGATGGACCCAGATACTATAGTTGATTTTGACTGTGGGACTCGAAACCACTTCAGTTCTCTTCAAAACACCAAACTGTTACACACAGAGTTACTGAGTCCAGATAGGCACTCACTTGTTCTATCTCAGCTTATGCTATAATGACAATATAGGGTGAACCTGCACACAATAAGTGCAGCCCGATCGAGACTGATAGATTTCCAGTCGGAATATTAACAACGGGATACTTCAAACCAACTCAATTTGAATTAACATTCTGACTTGTTATTAAGTAGGTGAAACTTTTCAAAGTCTCCTGATATCGTCCGTATAATGAATATAACAGCTTCGGCTAGCTTTAATAACTAACCATTTAAACGGAAACAAACGAAGCGGAGAATAAACATACAATACGTTCAGATTATAATGGTCGAATGCCTTAATTCATCATGTTATATCACTTCACTCATTGTAATAAATTTATATATCCTTTAACTGAATAGGTAAACCCAATTATAACAAATAGTTAATAAAACAAAAATCTCTTCAAAGTACAATGAAATTATTAAAATAAACATTAAAATTTCTTCTTCTGTTTAGTTGTTGTTGTTGTTGTTGTTGTTAACAGAACCAGTTAGATTGAAAAGTAAAAATGTTTTTTTTTTAATAATCCAATATTCAAAGAATAAACATTTAATATCAGGAAAAATCAATAAAAATCAAAAACTATTGTTTTCTATGAATATTGATTATTGAAAAAAAGAAAAAGAAACTTTTTTGTTTTTCTCTTAATTGAATGATCATCCATGAATTATAATGATAAATTTCATTGAAAATTATTTTTATTTTGTTCAATATTATTTAATATGTTGGTGATTATGATGAGTATATGATGAATCCTCATTCCAGTGATATTTAAGTCTAGATGTATGATCAATTTCATATGAATTGAACTGATCCAAAGACGAATTCCATTGTGATGGAGAATTTCCATTAACCTGTAGATAGATAATACAATAAGTAAATATAAAATGAAATTTTTTGAATAGAGATGTATTTCTATGGAATTATTGAATGAAAATGAACAGTATGTGTGAGTAGTTATTTTTTATTATTATTATTATTAGCTTTATTCAATATTATATTTTGAGTACAATATAGGATTCTCAGCACAAAGTATTTTAACAAGTTTCCGTTTCTTAGTTCTTCGTCCTTCCTGACGTAAATATTTAGTGATCGCCAGTTAGAAGTTAGCAGCCCAGTCAATCAACATCTGGATAATGTACATTCTTCTCGCTGCATATTGCCAGCAACCACGATATCTCTGATTAGGCCTTCTGTAACCTTTACAACGAAAGGTCTTACACTTTTCAGAAACGCACCTGAATAGGTTGTGTGGTTAATAGGCATAATGATGTATTGAAACAAACGAAATTAGATAGCTTGTTGAAACATCTAGATGACAGGAACAGGTAGCCCAGATGTTTAAACAGTTCGGATAAAGAAAATACAAACATGTTAATCTCTGCACAGCACAACCCCTTTAATTTTGTACTATATACATGGATAAAAGAACACATGACTAACGAATCAATCTGATTTAGTAGTCAAATAGAAAACCCAATTGGGGGCACCTTGTATCTTATTAAGAACCGAATAAGACTCACCAATGTTTAATCACTAACATAGAAAGATTAAATAATAGTGACTGTGATTTATGGGCTTTTAAAAGTAATTTAAATATTCTTGATATTTTGAATTAAAGAGCTGATTCTAAAATCCTTTGCACATGTTTACATGGCATTCTATTTTATTTCTAAATATTACTCCTAACCTAAACCCCTAACCGCGATTCCTAATCTTAGCGCTAACTCATAACGCCAACTTCCAACACTGAATCTTAACCGCAATTCTAAAACATAGTCCCAACCCTAAGTCCTTACTCTACTTCCTAACTCTTACTTTAACCCTTAGTCCTTATTATTTAGCTAAACTGTTAACCCTGAATCCTCATCTCAACCACTTTTGGTTTTTCCAAGCAATAAATTATTCATTTATATCGCTTGCATTCTGATTGGCTGAAAATAGACTAAACTTCCTCTATGTCGCTCTAAGAGTAATTGAAGATCATTAGTGAAGCAATAGTGGCAACTAACTAAAACATTTTCCGTACTTCTTATTATTTCACCATTTACCTAACACATGTTCGTCGATGAATGTCGGCTGGATTTATATTATCATGGATTGGATGCGTAAATTACAATTCTATCTATACTCACTCTAACACGGATGCTATCGCATATCAGTGAATAAGCCCTTAGTTTGGAATATTTTGTACATCCGTTTAGGAAATAAGACAAATATTTCAGGGCAGAAACTTTTCATTTCGGCAGTTCAATATATACACATTCGCTCACCCCATCCTGTGAAGCCATATTTATAGATCATTCATAAAGCAAAATTCCTACAGAACGTCTGAGTAAAGTACTGCGCAAAACTACAAAATCTTCTACTTGGTAACAAGTAGTGATTACATAACCCATCACATTTGTTAGTAGATATTATTTATTAGATAAAAGTTAATTTACTGAAAGATTTACACATATACAATTTATCCATGACGTAAGCCTTCAGAAAACGCAACATGAAACCAGACCTATTTGTACAGTAACTATTTGTATAGACGATTTTTTTTGTTGCAATTACATGCAACTAATGTATTTCCCTAATGGATTTGCATTTATGAATTGCAGTCTACGATAATATGTATACGGTTTATTCAAAATATTTCATTCAGTTCATATGAAAATTGTAAAGATTTCGGATTGAGTAGCTGCCTAACAGAAAACACCTCTGCGCCAAAATTGGCATCACTTTGTGGAAAAAAAGAATTAAATCAGATTTTTATTTTAATTCACAAAGGAAAAGTATGTTTCTTAATTATTTCATGTGTTCAATAGTAGTAGGAATGTTTGAGCTTACCATCCGTAGTCTACCATGTAAATTTTAAGATTTTGCAGTTAAAGGCAAAGCCATAAAGTCTATATATCAGTGCTTAGCACAAGGTACTTAAATTAAATTAGTCGATGTTATACATAGAAAACAGTGGATTTAATGTTGATCACATATTAAATGTGAGAAGTTGAAATGTTATGATAAGTAGATGAATAAAAACTCACTTCATGAGTATAACGGAAAATAAGCTAAATGTCATGTCAAGGTTAATGTAATAATGGTCAGAATAACAAAATTTGGTTTGGTAAAGTTACACATTCCTTTTCTAGATAATAAGAAATAGTTATCAGAAAACCCTGCTTGACCTAGTCTTCATGCTAGTTGACACACGCGAGCAAAGAGAATCTATGATCTTGAGGGGACTGTTTCTCCACTCTTTGGTATACAAACCCACTCTACTCAACTTCATAATATAAGGTACACCTTACTAATGAGTGCCGACTAACATGAAACCTATGTCCGCCTACCTTTAACTATCTAACTTCTCGGCATAGTGAATAAGATAGTGAGTCATTCATTTGCAATTTGAATGAAAGAATTTTGAATAAGGCTAAATGCCTAGATAAACATGATAATAGTCACTACTCAATGGTCAATAAATTATAAAGTTGTATCCTCAATAAACACTATTTATTAAGAAGAGAGAAAACAGAGTTTACCACGCAAGGTTACTTAAAATGAACGTCTATAAACTATAGTTGATGTAGCCTGTGTAATTAGAAATGAAATGATTCTATCGTTGAATAAGTCAAATAAAAAGTGTGAGTACACCTTGAGATTATACGGATAACTATCTTCATGATAATAATATAATCCTAAACAGACTGGCATACATGAATAAAAATAGTTGACTGATTTAGAGAAGTTCGCACGAAATATATAACAATAATAAAACAATGAAAAAATTTGGTTTAATAAATCCATGTCAGTTATCATACAGGAATAAGTTAGAGCGTGTTTTTTTCTTTTCTAAAAAAAGGGCCGAAATAAGTCTTTTATAATTAATGTGTGTTTCCGTTCTCATGATAATCACTGTATGCTCTCATGTATCTGCTCATAAACAATAAAAGCTTTTTCTAACCAACAGAACTATACATATGAGGGCTATCAATATATATATATATATATATATAATCAATGTGTGATTAATCTTTTCTTCAAAAGAGGACCATTATTAGTAATGTCAGTTTGTAGTCATTGTTCATCATGAATCGACATCAACTGGGTTAATGCTAATAACTAGGGCATATAGGATAGTTGTTTCGCCATACTACGATATTCCTCAACCCTGAGTAGCTCCAGTGCTGCGAGGAATTGAGTTCAGCACTTATGAAATGAATATCTAATTTTTAGTGGAAAGCCATGATCAATGGATTCCAGTGGTCTTGTAAGTGAAGCAAATGTAACAATGACATTGTATGATTGTTATATTATGTCAAGGATCTGATTGAATTTGGAAATGTGTACTATCGACTAAGTTGTCTAACAGTGTTTGATCAACATGAAACTTGATGATCCTAATTTTCATTAATAAAGAGGAATCTCATACTTTGAATTACTTCCTGTCCATTGCTCCCTGGTTTTCAATGATATCCTAAATGACAAATACTACTTAAAATTAAAACTACTTACCATAGACCTATCAACCAAAGTAAAACTTAATAATCTATCACTTTTATATCCCTGTTAATATTCAATTATCAGTATTATTTACTACTTAATTTGTTTTAAATTATTATCATACTTTTCATTTCTTTCAAAATCTTCTATTGAATATCATAATTTTGTAAATTACTTTTTTAAATAAATTGCCTGAATTTTTGGTTGGATGGTAAATCATAGAAGTTGATTGGTTCTATGTAGATAACTATATGCAAAATTTATTAGATAAATAGTCGATAAATTCTAGATAAGGAAAATTGATAATTGAGGAAATTCATCGATTTTTGCATTTATTAACTTAAATATCAAAGTTTTAATTTCAAAGTTAGATGGTTGGAGGAAGCTGGAAGAAAATCTCTGACATAAGTTTTATGCTACTTGACACTCTTCAGTAAGGCGTACCTACAATCTTGAGGTATCTGATATTGACTGTAAAATTTGAACCTATCAACCAGTTTCATAATCTGAAACGTTACAACTGACCTATTAGTCCTTTCACTGGGCTCCCGTATTACCGAAGCATTTACAAATGATTTATAACGGTATGATAATTAATGTCACTTTTTTCTAGCGGTTAATCCTGACTGAACTCTGTCAATCAAATTGAAAGCAACCATTCGTTTAAGTTACTCGAAATTTTATGTTTTGATATTAAGTAGCCGGTAGTAGTCTAAGGGAAATAGTAGTGATTGACACAACTTCGAATTCACGTGAGAATTTTCGGATGTTAATTACCTAATAGGGCATAGATATAATATGCGGATGGTGAAACTGAAACTTGTAATCTAATATAGCATTAAATATAGCTACTTATAACCAATTCAATATTACCTTGTAACCAAAGTATCAAGGGTTAACAATCTCGATTGCTTTACTGTACCACCCAATCTAACGTTTAGATGGTATTTCAATGATCTTTCATTAGGTTCGCCTGTAACAACATTCGTTTCCTCAAATTAAGCCGTCAGTTCATCATCAACCCAACGATCTCGTGAAATCAATCAACAAGTAGTAGGAGTTAGCGGTGATATTCTCCGTAAAACAGGAAAGTCAACATCACGAACTGACTTTAGCTGGATCGTTGAACCATATTATGTCACTTTTCAGAGGCTGAAAAGTGTCAAACTAGAACGAATCAGTTGGCCAGTACTTTCCTCATTTTCAACGATTACTAACAAGGATCAGTTCGTAATGCAAAATATGAAATTCGAAAATCTCCATAAACCCCTTGCATTAACATAATATTAAAATGTTACGTGTACCGATTTTAATACAATATTTTATTACAATAGGAAGTATTTAATAAACAATAACTTACAGTAGACTGATAGGATGAAATGTATGAACAGGGAATATCATTAGTTATCTTTGTCATGTTACTAGATTGAATATTTGTACAATTCCTGTTGGATAACTTCAAGTTATTTTGAATACAATAAGAAGGTGTTGTGTCATTAAATGACCCATAAATACCATATGAATCAGTATTGTTTTCTGGATAATAATTTTGTGAATAATTCATATCTTCCTGGAAAATTATCGTTTTTTGATTTTGTGTACGAATATTTAACTGATTAGAACATTTCAGTCTTACATCCTTGCTTAGTTTACATTCTTTGATAACATCACTTTTTGATGGTTGACTTAACTCAAAAATCGAATGCAATTTTGAATGCTTTCGTAAAGAACTTGGGTCTGTATACCGTTTGGTACAACCAGTTATTTTGCATGCATATGGTTTCTGTAAACCAATAAAAAAGCAGAAAGTTATATAGATCTATTTAGTTATGTAATGCAAAAGTTACAAAAAGACAACTAATTATTCCGTATAATCTTCTAGTTATTGGAGGCAGTCGTTAGGAAAATCCTAGACTTATGTTTTGTGTTAGTTGGTACTTATCAGAAAAGTATACCTATCGTTATTAGGATTCTGGTCCAACAGAAATTACCAGTGCTAATACGGTTTCAGATGGATTATACTGACGGGTATAAACTAACATGAACCGTTGGCTAAATAGGTTTTCTGGTAAACTCACTACAACCACCTTTGATTAGGATTAAAGTATTACACAAATATGAGTTTAATCACTACGCAGTGACCATTTGGCTGTGAATCTACAGCTGATAAACTAATGTGGCAAATTCATAAAGCCTTGCATTTTCTCTTTGTTGGTATTTAAATTAAATTTGATCTTATAAGCAAAGGTGGATAGTGGCTAGCAGTGGAATCCAGGACGCGCATTTCCTCCTATTTGGGACTCATCAGCCGGATGTACCTGCATCTGAGTTGATGTTCACTCTGGGACTCAAACTCAGTACCGTTCGCTTCAAACGCTATCGCATTATACACCTTGCTACTGAGTTCTGATAGCTGCTTGCTTGTGCAATAGGGTGTAGTTTAAATTCACTTGGTATTGTTTGTTTGAATTTTCCCATTGATGCTTAGGACTGCAATTGAGCAGTCTCTTATTGGCATATGTACATACTATGGATATTGAATCGATATAGCGAGCGATACTGGGTTAGAGTCCCATAGTGAATATCAACTCTGAGATAGAGGTACATTCAGCTGACGAGTCCAAAATAGAACGAAACGCGCGTCCTGGATCCCACTGCTAGCCACTATCCATCTTTGCTCATAATGCAATTCGCACAGTATGCATATTTTCCAATAACAGACTGATCAATTGTAGTGGTAAACATCAATGGGAAAATTCAAACAAACAATAAGAAGGGAATTTAAATTTGATCGTGTTCACTAAAAGACGATAAAATTCTTTTATAATAACAGTATGAAAGCATCAACCGTACGTGTAAATGTTACCGAGAGACTGATTAAAATTCAGTCCTCATTGTGAACATCCTTTGAGAATAATGGATATCATACCTATCGAGTAAGTTGATATCCTTCAAGTTATACCTAAAGAATATTCTTTATAAGAACTAGTAATAGTCAAAAACAGTATAATAACAAATCTGAGTAAATGGTAATGCTTTTTGATAATACTTAGTCATTCAATAATTCCTGGAAACTGATTGATTCGACTCCACCGTTGTTCGTCATACTTCAAATCATTACAAGGGTAAAGAAAAACTAAAACATGAAAAACTAAGAAGCTATAACAACGATATTAATTTTAGTTGAAAATAAACTTCGCGCTTGTAATTCAGATGTCACATTATTAAAAAACAACCAAATAAATGATTAATTTATTCTATACGAAAATCATTGATGGTGAGTGCTTAGAAACGAAAGTATCTGTCATTCAAAGATGATTTCTGCTAATACACATACGTTCTTTTTATAATGAAGCCAATAAATTTTATGAATCCATTTGAGGTACAGAATTTATAAACCTGAGAGTTGCTGAATGGTTACTTTCTTTTATAGGATGAATAGTTCTCAATAGTATTCATCCACAACTTCTCATTTCATAAAATCCATAATCTTAGTCTCTTGAGGCAAAGGCAGTAATTTGAAACTGGGTTAAAGTTCACTAGTCGTTATTTTCAAATTCATATAAATCACGATCTTGTACGGTTATCATTAACTCTTTTCAGTGGGTTACAGTTAAATAACAAAATCGGATCCGCATAATGTTATTAGTAAGAACCTTATTACTATTTTGACAAAAAGAGGACCAATAATCATTTTAAGTTAAACAGAGCAGATGAGACTATATTTCTGAATTATTTCTAATGAAATTTAAGTCGCAAATTCATTTGGCGTTCGGACACTTCATACATTTTTCACTAATGATACAAGCGCATACATAATCAAATATACAAAACCAATAGGTACTAATTCCTAAACCTGGGCTTCATAATAATTAACACTGCCCAACAAAATATATCTGCAATCCTGACTGAACTAATAGTTCTTGTGTGAAAAGATACTTGAGCAATTGTTATCATGATCAGATACCTAAACAATGAGCTTTGCGGTCCTAGATATTAGATATCTGTCCACTAATAAAATATCTCCATCAAGATTTTCACTATTATTGGGAACGTAGATAAAAAAATCTTATATATCATCTTTAGATCCATAAGTATATCAAATCAATTAGATTAGTGACCATATAGGAATTTGATTAATTAAAGTCAATCAGTACTAAGGCTAATCAACACATTATTGATTCATAACAAGTGACTAATTAATGTAGGCATAATTATTCACCTGGTATGAAAACCTGCCGTTGTATACCATTGAAAATAAGCATAAGTTTTCTTTCTAATGGTTACATTGATTGCTATCAACTCATATGATTAAGTCATTTATATAAAACTGACTGTTTAGCATGATTCCTTGATTTGTAGAAATCATGTAAAACTGTACACAAATGTAACATTTATATTAATCACAATCAATTTTTTTCTTGTGAAATTGAATAATATTTTTAATAGTACCACTATTAGTACAGTTCAATCGATGATCACATAACTGTGATTTACTCATTTGCGCTTCTACCCATCCTTCATAATTCATCTCTAACATAGTAATAATTAATACAGTGAATTCAAAATAATTAAATTAATAATTATTTTTACTATAGGATGTTGTGATGGTTTGAATTATTTTTTATGGTTAGCGTTTTTTTAGTGAGTTAGTTTTCTACGGGATGTGGTCGCTAACACCATGATCAACCCTCCTCCTTTACCCGGGCTTGGGACCGGCAATAACTCTAGAAGAGCCACAATTGAAGAATATATGAAACTCAAAACAACTGTCAACTAATTTCAAAGTGAGAATCTTCAATACGAACGTCAAAACAGTCCTACTGTACGGAGCTGAAACGTGAAAAACTACTATAGCCATCGTTAAGAGGGTACAAGTATTTATAAATAATTGTCCACGCAAAATACTTAGCATTCACTGACCGGTTACTATCGGCAACAGCGTTTTATGGGAGAAGACAAATCAGCTTCCAGCTGAAGTGGAAATTAAGAAAAGACATTCAAAATGAATCGGACATACACTAAGGAAATCATCAAACTGCAACACGAGGCAAGCCTTAACTTGGAATCCGGAAGGGAAGCGGAAAAGAGGAAGGCCAAAGAAAACATTACGCCGGGAAATAGAAGAAGACATAAAAAGGCTGAATGTTAACTGGAAAGGACTGGGAGGGACTGCCAGGACAGAGTTGGATGGAGAATGCTCGTGGGCGGCCTATGCTCCTCAACGAAGGGTAACAGGCGTAAGTAAGTAATGTTAGTGATGATCATACAATTTTTCATAGGTTACGTTGCGCATTGATTCCAGTTAGTTAAACTTTAAGAACCAGGAAGCACTTGACAGCTGTTTTGCCATGGTATGGACTATTTAGCAGTACAAATCCACGACCCAGTCATTATAGATCGAACATAGGATATTTAGCCCTCAATGTAAGCGCTTAATTTATAGATAATTGAGCTGGAATCCAGTAGTATAGATGTACAACTTCAACAAATTCTTGATATTGAGTGACTTTATTCCAAAGTCCTCGACAAATTCGAGTTCCACTACTTATAGCTTCTCACTAGGATTCTTATAATTCAATGACGTAGGGGTATGAGACAGTTATCCATCACAGACAATAAATGGTGATCACTCAACATCGAGAAATGACTGAAGTTGAGCATGTATAATATTGGATGTCGCCTAGTTACACAATCGAAGCTAGAGTTGAAGGTCTTGAGTTTGGTGCGTACAGTTGAGAAATCCCATACCAGGACAAAACGGTTTTCAAGTACCTCCTGCTTTATGTTGATTATGTGACTGAGATCAACACATGATCTGACCCATAAATACATCGTAGTCTTATAGGAGGTTAGTTGAGGCCCTCAATAGCTGAGTGGTTACGTCTACCTAAGAGACAAGGGATCAAACCCTCCAAGGTGCATAAGTTTTCTTACCGAGGCACTTTGATGACGGGTGCCAAATAGTATGAGACATAATTTTAAGGGTTTTTTGACTACCTCCGATAACCGCCTTACAATGAATATCTGAAGGAAAAAATATATTAAAGTAGTTAAGTTAAACGTAAAAGACTTTCATAGTTGAAATCTTCACAAAACCCCTTCTCGTATAAGACTTTATTACTTCATTTGTATGACTTATTTTATACATTCTGTGATTGTAGATACTTAGAATACTCGTTTATTGATTGTGAAACTTATTGAAGTTTCTCTAGGATACAAATGTCCAGAATTGTTTTTTTCTCATTTTTTTAGAGATCAAGGGTTTGTATTAATACTTTTGTGATTTAAGTTTAAAACAATTAGTCCCTTTGATAAATTTCGATAATGCAATGAGAAGACGAAGTTTATCACAATTATGTGATATATTTGCTCAATACATTTCGAACAATCTGATCACACATACTTATTAAGACATTTTTATATGAAAATTAAAAGGTCAACTAGACAGGTTAAAGGTAAGAAAATAAATAAAGTATACAAAAACAATGTGATGACTACTGTGGATAATAAATAAGCATTACCAGGGTAGATTAAGGGTAAGAACAAATTGTTTTTGAACACATAAAGGGGTTTTTAATTTCCGTATAGCCAAGGCTTCAATAAACCTTAGTATACGTCCTTGAAGGCTTTTGTACAACACTACAAACGCTGATTTGATGTCAACCTTATGACCAGTTTCAACCAAATATTTCGCAATGGTCAAAAAGATCACAGGATAGACAGACATCTTCCTATCTAGTTGACCTTTTAATTTTCATATAAAAATGTCTTAATAAGTAT